TTCAATAGCATCTCATAAGCAGGTGTTTAATTAGTTTCGTTAAAGCATTCAGGAATTGAATTTTACAATAGTTATTATAACATCAATTAGTGATGTGACAATACATGTAGATAAAATTATCGTATCCTTTGTTTTAAGCGATAAAAGCGATTGTGAATGTGAAATGAGCAGTATAAGATACTGTCCTAATTGTCGGATATGTAGAAGTCATTTAATGTTTAAAAGTCTTAACAAAAGCAAAGAATATAACAAACTATGTAGGAGATGTTTAAACCGTATGAATGGTTTTAAACGCAAAGTGTTTTTTAACCTTTAAAAAAAGTGTTAATCTCGAACTTTTATATATGCCTGACGAAGATGATGTTATAAAATCAATCAAGCGCATTAGCAGTCAAAAGATTTTAGAGAAGTTAGAACTCATTGAGAAAAAGATTGATGATTGATGAATTAATTAGTAAACCTAAACAAGTTTAAAAACCAATGGATAAAGATAGTCATACTTACAAGAATAAGGGAAGCGTATATGTTAATAAGCTGAATAACAAGGATATTAAGTTTCCAAAGAAAGAGACAGTAGAATATTATGAAATTAAGTTTGATGACCAAGAGAGAGCATATTAGATATTGTATTATGCAAAAACCGTATTTTACAAAAAACATTAAGAATTGAGAACTTACATGTTAATGGCAAAGGCATCAGGACTTAAAAAACAAACAGGAAATAACTAAAATCAATAATGACCTAAACTTGATAAAGAATGAAGTCATGAATACATTAACCGACAATATACCGAATATTGAAAACTGTATGATGACGACTCATGTAAGCAATGGAAAATTAATTGTTGAAATTATAGACGGAAGAACACTGGATATTATGAAAAGAGAAGCAAGAAGACGAAGGAAACATACAATAATAATTGTTCTTCATAGTAATTAGTATTCTATGTCATGTCATTCAAGGGACAAGGTTATAATCTTTTGGGGATTTTCTATTAGGGTCTTACCCCACACCTCATTAGGATATTGGTTATTTTATGGATAAGGTTATGGGGTTGGGTAGTTGCTTTGGTTTAGGGTTGTGTTATGGATAATTGTATTGGTTTTGGCGTGTTGCTTTGTTTCGGGATAATTGAATTGTTTTTTTGGAGGTGCTTTGTGTATTGGTGTTTTGGGAGGTTGAAATCTTAGGCGGGTTG